TCTGTATATGTCTATACCTGTATTTTTCTTTTCTTTTTCTAAGTGCAAGTACAGGAATCAGCTATAATACAGTGACAACCTTTGTTCCTTAAAATCTGGGTTCAGGGTTGGTGCCCACAGCACAGTGGTTATGGCCCCAGCCACATACACCAAGGCTGGCGGGTTCAAACCCAGCCAAGGCCAACTGTAACCAAAAAATAGCTGGGCGTTGTGGCAGGTGCCTGTAGTCCCAGCTATTGGGAAGCTGAGGCAAGAGAATAGCTTAAGCTCAAGAGTTTGAGGTTGCTGTGAGCTGTGGATGCCACAGCACTTTACCAAGGGTAACATAGTGAGACTCTGTCTCAGAAAACAACAACAACAATAACAAAAACTGATATTGAAACTTAATCCCCAAGTGGCAGAATTAAGAGGTGGGGTCTTTAAAAGGTCAGGAGGGCTCTGCCGTCATGAATGAATCAGTTCTTTGTGGGTTAAAGGATGAATGGGTTAATGGATTAGGGCATTGTCATGGGAGTGAGACCGGTGACTATAAAAAGAAGAAGAAAGAACTGAGCTAGCACGCTCAGCCCTCTCCCCATGTGGTACCCTATGCCCACTCAAAGGCCCTCCCTAGAGGGGGCCCCTTGACCTTGGACTTCTCAGCCTCCATAACCATAAGAAATAAATTCCTTTTCTTGATAAATTACTCAGTTTATCAAATTACTTTAGGTATTTTGTTATAAGCCACAGAAAACAGAATTAACCAATGTGCCTAGTGCTTTAAAACTTTTTTTGAAATATAATTCATATAACATAAAAGTCACTATTTTAAAGTATAATTTGGGGCTTTTTAGTATATTCACTATGATGACAAACATGACCACTGTCTAATTCTAGAACATTTCTCTCTTTTTAAAATTTCAGATTCATGTGGGAGTACACACTGTTAGATTCCATAGTTTGCATTTGAAAAGTTAACGTCTGATTTGTAGGTGTGTCCTATACCCACGCAGCATGCAGTGTATCCTTGGGGTGGATAATTCTAGAACATTTCATCAGTCCAAGCAGAAACACCACATGGCTTAGGAGTGGCTCTCCATCTCCTCCACCCTGACCCCTGGCAGCCACTAAGTACTTTCTATCTCTACAGATTTGCCTATTCTGGAGATTTCATATAAATGGAATTATATATTGTGTGAGCTTTTGTGACTGGCTTCCTGCACTCGGGTAATGATTTCAAGGTTCAGCCACATTGTAGGACACACTGGTACTTAATTCCTGTTTATTGCTGAGAAATAGCCCACTGGATGGGCCTGCTGCTTTAAAGCAATTGATGTCTTGTCCTTCCTTTGCCTTTCCCTGCACTAACAACGGTACAGTGGCCTGAGGACACTTGACACCTTCTAGTGGTTCTAATAATTCTTTTACTCTTCTGTGCTAAGCGTGGATTAGTGAAGGCTAAATAATGAATTTGACCTGTTTTTTAAAATAGCCTGTTTATTTTAACTCTGTAACAGCTGGTGATCCATTGCTTAGGTGACTTTGTGAAGTTGAGAATATAGCTTTCTTGTAGGGGTTTGTTTTGTTAAGGAAGTAATTTACGACATTGCTTAAGAAATCTGTTGTTCTCTTAATCTGCAGAATATCTTTACCATTATCAATGCTTTTTTCTGGAGGAGAGTGCTTTATTTGTAGAAAATCTGGGGCTAAATTTGGAGACATTGATTTTCTAGAGTTTGGAATATACAATTAGTGAAGACAATAGGCGATTAGGCCGACTTATCTCTATTTACAAAGTAGTAACTAAGCATATAAAATAACAGAAAGGAAGGGATCTGGTAGGATTTCAGTTAGAATAAGATTAATAAAGTTTGAAAGGCTCAAGTTTTATACCCGTATTTCAAAATAATCAAGTTAGTGCTCTTACTGATTAATTTGTTCTTTTACTAGCTCATATTTAATTGTTTACATGATGCTATGAAGTAAATACTTTATTTAATCTTTCCAGCAAGTTTTGCAATAAGTTGATACAGGACAGGTGGCGCCCCAGCTGGCTCAGCCCAGATGGGCTGGAGGACCCACCGCCTTCACCAGCCGGTTGGTGCAGGGGCAGCCAGCAGAGGAACCAGCAGGCCTGAGCTTACCCAAGTGGAGGGAGCCTCCCTGCCCCACTGGAGGCTCCAGCAGCCAAAGGGACCAGACAACTGCTGGGGAGACACCGGTACCTTGGTGTCTCCTTCCCCTTTACACTTATGACTAAATACGGAACCTCCATTTCCTATGCCTAGGTCAATTTCATGTAAGTTTCCTAGGCCTCAGTTCTGTGAATGAACTGTGTCAATTCATTAGCACATTCATTCACCTTGTCCCAGTGGAAGGGACTGTGTCCATTCATTAATACAGTCATTCACCTTGCCCCAGCAGAGGAGATTGTGCCCATTCATTTCCTGGCCTCATATAGAAGGAACTCATGCACCTATATATATACCGCTAAACGGAGAGAGAAAAACGGAGAGCGCTTTTCTATCCCGACTTGGGTTTTTCTCCCTACCAGGAACTTTAGTGTTTTTGTATTCTTTTCTGTAAATAAATTCTGTCTTGCCACTGGTCTGTGGTCCGCGGATTTATTCTTCAAATCACCGAGACCAAGAACCTGAAAGTCCCATATCAGATTTGGAGAGCCAGCCAGGAGAGAAGACGAAATTCCGGTATCAAACTCATGTTTTTCACATTTACAAATCAATGAAGCTAATGGAGGAGGGGTTACCCAAATGTTTCTTCTTCTATTGTTTGCCTGTTAAATGTATTTTATAGTATTTGTTTGCAGTTAATTAACAAGCAATATTTGAGGAATAGAGATTTATTGTTGTTTTGGTCAGGAAAGATTAAGTTGTGTGGAAACAACCTCAGATAGTACTATCTATAACTTATACAGTTGATGTCTTATTCGTGTAAAGTCCTCTCTGGGT